CTCAGTTTGGGGAAGTTGGTTTAGTGTGTGTGTGTGTGTGTGTGTGTGTGTGTGTGTGTGTGTGTGTGTGTGTATGTATGTGTTGTGCTGCTGCTCTTTGTGGGGTGGTATACCATAGAGTGAACTCTGGGCCTTGCTCATGCTAAGGAAACATTCTGTGCTGAACTCTATCCCCAGCCCTGAAAGAAGTCTCCCTTAATATGGAAGTTTAGAGACTGATGTATGTTTTTAATCAGATAAAATTTAGGTTCAGTGAGTTGTACAGATCTACAATTAAGTTTTGGCAAAGATGGCCACCAGTATAACCTAAAAACTTGGTCGATATGTAGAACATTTTATTATCTTTTAAAATTTATACTCAGGAGGATCAGTAGTTCAAGGTCCTCCACTTCACAGTAAGTTTGAGGCCAACCTGGTTAGCAAAGCTTGTCTGGAAAATCACAAGGAGGGTGGGGAAGATGGCCGAATGGGCAAAGTGCTACTGCACAGCAGGAGGCCCGAGGTTGACTCCCTAGAACACAGGAAAAGTCCAGATGCACTGGGTCCCAGTACTGCTGCAGCTCGTGAGCCAGCTAGCCTGGTACATGCAGCAGCAAACGAGACCCTGTCTCAAACAACGTGACAGGTAAAGACAAACCCAGAGCTGTCCTCTGACCTCTGAGAGGGCTCTGTCGAGTGCACACACACATACACACACACATAGACAAAAGATATAACTCATGTTCAGTGCTCCAGGCAATTCCCTTGAACCCTGCTGTAGTGAACCCCCACTTCCATAGGAAACCAGTCCTCTGGTTTCAAGATCACAGTGCTTGTTTATGTTGCCCTATAAGTGAATTATATGATATGTACCCTTTCTGTCTCTTGTTTTGCTCAATATATGCAAATGAAATCTACTTAGTATTATTTCATTTTTCAGAAGCCTGTGTCTCACATTATGAAGGAAACACAAAATAATTTTTTCTTTCCTCATTCTCTGACTGATAATCAGTTCATGAACTACCTTGTATACAGTAAAAACTATATAATATTAAACAATTATTTTCAGAATAGGCCACCTTAAATGTAGTTAGTTTGGGGAAATAATTAAATTACATACCTAGATTACAGCATAAATCTCCATCTTCCCATCCATTTTTGGTCTTTGTTGCTATTTTTTCTCTGGATTTTCTGCTTGGCTAACAAAACGTGAAGAACGTTCTTCTTGCTCTCTTAAAAGACCCAGTCCTAACTGTCTTGGAGGCACTTCCTTCGTGGCTGCAGTCAGAATTGATTGTGCAACCTCTAGTCTTTTGATTGGCTCAGTCAAGTTAGTAGAAGGGCCCCTTTGTCTCTAATTGATCCCACAAGATAAAATGCTAACTATAATCCTTAATAATTACAGTTTCACAAAATGCCAGAATGCCTACTCAGACATAATAGTTTTATCACAAGAAATTCAGGCCAGATTGACTGTTGGTTCTGTGATCAAAGGCCATTGCAACCGCCGAGTTTACTGAGAGAGTACAGAGGTCATTCCTTTACGTGCTTTGTACTCCCCACCAGATGAAGAGAAGGCTCCTTTCCTGCATAGCTTTCTGTTGTGATTTATTACTCTACTGCTTTGAGATTTTGGAAGCTAATGATTATTCCAAACTGTAGATAATTACTAGACTTGGAAAAGTATAGCCAATATTGTAAAGACTTCTCAAACAATCGTTCTTACGAAACTAGATTTCATAAAGAAATGCTTTAAATGAGGCTGGGGGGCGGGGAGCTGTATAGTTCAGTTGGTAGACTGCTTGCCTAGCATGCCTGAGAACCCTGAAAACTGAGTGTGGTGATACATGGTTATAACGCCAGCACTCTAGAGATGGAGGCAGGAGGATTAGAAGTTCAAATTCTAATCAGTCTCTGCTTTTATGGAAGCGTATCTACAAGGAGCCTATTCTCAGAACGTCTCCCTGCTTCAGGGAGCTGTCAGTAAAACCTTGCTTGCCCTTCACAGACACACACACTCACACATGCACACCCACATACATGCATGCACATATGCACACGTTTGCTGCTTGAGTAACTAGGAAATTCCAGTGCTGAGTAGCAATGGCAGACTTAGCATGACTAGTTATCAGAGTAGCTCTGGTACAAAGTTAAGATTTCTGCCAGACTCGAGGCGACTCAGGAGGCTTGGTCTCTGAAGGAGGCAGATGTGGGCGTGGGTTCTTTATTAATCCCACCAAGTCAGGGTAAAGACATTACCCAAATTCTTTGGTCAAAATAGACAAGCTTTATTTTCTTTCAGACAGGGCTATCTCCCTAAGGTGGGGTTTGAGAAAATAGCACTAAACAGGAAAAAGTGGGGCTCATAGAGCCCAGAAAACTGCAGGCTAGGGAATTTCCAAGGGATTTTGGTTACATAGGCACTTGGCAGAGCATTTCAGAATATTTGGCAGAACATCTTAGAGTGGAGATTAGGGTATAAGGTGTAGAACATGTCAAATTCCAGAAAATGGACCTAGACCTGGTCAAATCCAAGTTTTACAGAAAACAGGCATGAGCTTATTTTGACCTTGTCACAAGATGGATTTTAATCTTAAAATGAAGTAGGCTGGGTCATCGTCTTTCTCGGCCCACTATTGCTTTGATTGATTGAGACTAGCCTGTAGGTCCTTTGATTGATTGAGACTAGCCTGTAGGTCCTAAATTACTTCCTTTTATTTATTGCCAATTTCATCAATAAAAGTGAAAAGGATTTTTATTATACATATTTTTAATTGAATAAGGTTTTCAGATTTTTGTTACAACCCAAACTCAGTCTCTAGGACCAGCATAGTAGAAGGGAAAGCCTGACTTCTGCAGATTGTCCTCTGAACTCTACATGCACACTGTGGCACATGCATGCCCACACTCACACAAGTAAGTTAATGAGTAATGGATTAATTTCAAATGTAAAGGGAACAAAAAGAACTACATGCTTTATTTGATTCTCACAACAGCCTCAACAGGTGGATAGTATTACCCTGGCTTTTAGTGGATTTGCCTCGCTCACTGTAAATACAGGATAAAGGGGACAGGTCTTACTAAAAAGATACATTATGCCTTAGGAATTCAAAAGAGATTTTTTTTAATGATTTATTTTTATTTTACGTTCATTGATGTTTTGCCTGCATGCAGGCAAACATGCATGAAGACAGTTGTGTGAGGGTGTCTGATCTTGGAGTTACAGACAGTTGTGAACTGCCATGTGGGTACTGGGAATTGAACCCAGGTCCTCTGGAAGAGCAGTCAATGCTCTTAACCACTGAGCCATCTTCTCAGCCCCAAGATTTTTTTTTTAAGGTCTTGAAATTGAAGAAAATTTTTATCAACTATTATAATAAAAACTAGGGGCTGGAGAGATGGCTCAGTGGTTAAGAGCACTGGCTGCTCTTCCAGAGGACCTGGGTTCAATTCCCAGCAACCACATGGTGGCTCACAACCCTCCATAATGAGATCTGGTGCCCTCTTCTGACCTGCAAGTGTATATGTAGGCAGAACACTGTATACATAATAAATAAATAAATCTTTAAAAAAAAAAAAAAACTACATGCTGTTAGCAAACACTTATCAAGAGTCTACTATATTCTAATTATTCTGTACCTTGGTAGTAGGTTGAACAGACAAAAATCTATGTCCTTGTGGAAATTGCCCTTTTTACAGGGAAGTCATACAGAAATAATGTATGAACATATATTTAACATATTGAAGTTTCAGGGAAGCTTTGACTGTATCCTCGCACATAATAATGTTCTATAAGAGGCTGAAGAGACAGCTCAGCCATTAAGAAAGAGCACTGACTACTCTTGCAGAGGACCCAGGTGTTGTTTCCAGCACCCACACGGTGCCTCACCGCCGTCTGTAATTTCAAGTCCAGGGGATCTAACACCTTCTTCTGGCCTCTTGAGGGACCAGCACACACGTGGTACACAGACATATATATAAGCAAACACCCATATGCATAAAAATAAATAAATATTTTTTAAAATAATGCTTGATAAACACTTGATTAGAGGAATAGAAGAAACCAAAGATCTGTACAAAATCTTACAGGGTCATAATAATTTTTTAGATTTAATCACATTTGACTACAATTTGCAGTGAAATAAAAACCTGGATTATCTTAATTCTTTGTATGCTATATCATCAATTAAAGAAATGATCGTGGATGTCTCCTTCTGATATTAACGATTTTAGGTACTCTAGCAGTCTAGCCATTCAAAGCATCCAGTGACTTTTTCCCGTCCGTTTCTAGGGGAGGTGACACCAGGACTGTCCCAGGTGGAGTACGCACTTCGAAGACACAAGCTGATGGCTCTGATCCACAAGGAAGCACAGGAGCACAGTGGGACCGACCACACAGTGGTGGTCCTCTCTAACCCTACGTACTACATGAGCAATGACATCCCCTACACATTCCACCAGGACAACAATTTCCTGTATCTCTGTGGGTTCCAAGAGCCTGACAGCATTCTGGTCCTTCAGAGCTTCTCTGGGAAGCAGTTACCATCCCATAAGGCCATGCTTTTTGTGCCTCGGAGAGACCCTGGTCGAGAACTGTGGGATGGCCCTCGGTCTGGCACGGATGGAGCGATAGCCCTAACTGGGGTGGATGAAGCCTACACCCTGGAAGAATTTCAACACCTAGTACCCAAACTGAAAGGTAATGCTAGTAAAATCAAATCGCAGGCCAAGGTAGGATTCGGGCCTTCCTTGGCCTGTAGTTGTTAATTTTCTAAAATAATTCTCCTAGTAGCGTTTTTTTTTTTTTTTTATAAAAAGCTATTGCTAAATGTGGTGGCATGTGTTGTATCACAACTCTCAGGGAGACTGAGACTTGAGGATCTCTGAAAGGTTTTTGTTGGTAGTGGTTGTTGATTGGTTGGTTTTTTTGAGACAGGGTTTCCCTGGCTGTCCTGGAACTTGCTTTGTAGGCCAGTCACAGAGATCCACCTGCCTCTGCCTCCTAAATTATGGGTGTGTACCACAGGAGGCAGAATTTGAATCAGTCAGTGCTGGGATTAAAAGTGTACTCCGGCTATCACCCAGCTCTGCGCCAGTTTTAAGATCAGCCTGTCTTAAATGATGAGGCCTTTCTTGGGTTACAGCTGAGAACCACATGGACACTGAGCACAGGCGTTTCTCTCTGGCCTTTTCGTGTCTCCCCGAGTTGCTGCCTTTGTCGTCTTTGGCAGTCGGAATTAACCTGGGGCTGGAGAAGTGGCTCCGTGGAAGATCAGTTCCTCTTCCAGAGGCCCCAGGTTTGATTTCCAGCATCCACGGGGTGGCTCACAACCATCCTAACTTCAGCTCCGGGGGATCTAACACCCCTTCCTGCCTCTGCATGCACCAGACACAAACGTGGTACACATACATATATACAGTCAGAACATCCCTACACATAAACTTTGTTTTAGTTTTAACCACGTATAGTTAAATCCTCACAATACATGTGTTTCTTGAAAGGACTTTTCTCATCACTGTGTGTTTTTTTTTAATCCACTTTGAAGTTTATTTTTATTATTTGTGTGTGTGTGTGATGTGGGAAGGGGGCAGGTGTGCCACAGCATACCTGTGGAAGTTAGAGGGCAGCTTTGCGGAGTCAGTTCTCTCCTCCCACCATTATTGGGCTCCTGGGGTCAGGCGGAAGTTACCAGCCAAGCACCTCTGCCCACTGAGCTGTCTGTCTCATTAGCTCCTAGTCATTATTCTTTCTGTTTCCTCGGGGTTTTGCTGGCCTGTTTGTTTTGAGACAGAGTCTCATTGCTGCTCTAGCTCGCCTGGAACTCACAGAGATCTGCCTTTCTCTGCCTCTCATGTGCTAGGATTAAAGGCATTGCCAAACCCAGCTTTTTTTCTTCTTCCTTTCTTCCTTTTTTTGGGGAGGGATTGTGGGGGGGGGGGCAGGGTTTTATATAGCCCCAGCTGTCCTGGAGCTCACAGAGATCTGCCTGCCTCTGGCATTAAAGTTATGTGCTATTGTGCCCAGATTATCCACTGTTCTTAATGTTTGATGGGTAAAAGTACCAGATACCCGAAGTGTTGGTATAGCACAAATCCTAATTGGCCTTAATAATAAAAGCCCAGAGTCAGATATCAGGGTAAAAGCTGAAAGATCAGAGAAGCAGAGCAGCCAGCCACTAGAAAGACTTCTTACCTCTACCGAATCCTCAGCCTGAAAGGGACTGAGTTCCTGTCTCCTCCCACCTTACACTCCCTCTCCACTCAGACACATCACTTTGTCTCCACCTCCCTAGTGCTGGCATTAAAGGCATGAGATCCCAAGTGTTAGGATTAAAGATGTGTGCCACCACTGCCTGGCCTCTAGTTGCAATCTCCTTTCTCTGATCTTCAGGCAATATTTATTAAAACACAAACAAAATATCACCACAGAATCTAATAAATTTATTTACAAGTTTGCAACCGCATTGGAATTGTGTCTTGATAGTATATCATTTGTCCAGCATGTACCAGGCCTCAGTTTCCAACCTCAGCACTGTCATAGAAAACCAGCCCAATAAATGTTGAGCTTTGATTTTTATACACGGAAAATAAATAATAGGGACGGTTTAATTTTTTTAAATAATTGACACATATACTATTGTAATTTAGTACTTCCCATCCAGTATACACTTAATGGCATTTTTATTTTTCAAATGGCAGGCCATTGGAGCCACACGCCTTTAATCCCAACACTCAGGAGGCAGATGCAGGGGAACTCTGTGAGTTCGAGGATAGCTTGTCCTACAAAGTGAGTTCCAGGACTGCCAGGGCTACACAGAGAAACCAGGTCAAAAAATGCTTGGCCTATCACATCATAATGCAAGCCCAGTCAGAATTTCCTCAATTCTTCCCCTATTGTAGCCCAGTCTACTTTTTGTTGATTTTGTTGTTGTTTTGGTTTGGTTTGTTTGGTTTTTGTTTTGGTTTGTTTTTGAGACAGGACATCTCCATGTAGCCCTGGCTATCCTGGAACTCACTCTGTAGACCAGGCTGTCCTTGAACACACAGAGATCCACCTGCCTCTTCCTACAGGAGTGCTTGGATCAAAGACATGTGTCACCACCTCCCAGCCCAATGTACTTTTTAATCATACAGTCCTACAGATTTAGTTAAGAATGTCATTCTTGGCCAGGTATGGTGGCGCACACCTTTAATCCCAGCACTCGGGAGGCAGAGGCAGGTGGATCTCAGTCAATTCCAGGATAGCCTAGCCTGGTGTACACAATGAATTCCAGGGTAGTCAAGTATATACAGTGAAACCCTGTCTCAAGAAACCAAAAACAAATTTTTAAAAAATGTCATTTTTGACCTACTTTTAGCAAAAAGATGAATTATACACATGCTGCTAAGCAGTATATGTCATTTTCATTCTGAGCCCTTAGAGCATAGTCTCAGGGACAGATAAGACTGTCTTTTTAGATCCTACAACAAAATAAATGATAGATACAATGAATAACTGTTCCAAACTGGGAGACCTACTTTATGCTAGCTTGTCCCCAGACCATTTTACACAAGGGTGGGCTCTTTAACCAGAAAGTCATTAGCTGATCGCTATCACTTTTATGCACCATAATTCAGGAATGCTTCTGAATCAGCTGTGGTAGGAAAGAACAACTGTTGCATTTGTTCTTTAAAAGTTAAAAAATAGGCCGGGCGGTGGTGGCGCACGCCTTTGATCCCAGCACTCAGGAGGCAGAGGCAGGTGGATCTCTGTGTAGTCTAGCCTGGTCTACAGAGTGAGATCCAGGACAGGCACTAAAACTACACTGATAAACCCTGTCTCGAAAAAACAAAAAAAAAAATTTTTTTTTTTAAATATCAAAATTCAAACTTAGATAAAGCTTTAGTTCCATCTGTCATTTTCATAAGAATAGTGACATTTTGTGGTAGAAAGCTGTGTATATCCCAGAACTTTCAGAGAATGACCTTTCCAATGATTCATGTCAAGCCTATCAGATGCTTCAGTCTTGAGAAAGTGTCACTCAGCCTTCCAGGATTCCACACAACAGATTTTATAGCTTTGTCTTGCTTAACATATTTATTATTATTTTCTGTTTGTTTATGTTTCATTTATGTTTCACCATTGAACTATTTTATATTCTGATGTTAGGGATTTTTTTGTCCCTGTGGCTTTCTGAGGCAGATCTCAAGTAGTCCAGGTTGACTTTGAACTAGCTATGTAGCTGAGTCCTAATCCTCTGACTTCCACCCTCTGTGTGTGTGATTATAACAATGCGACATCACACCCAGGCCAGTGTTAGTTTATTGTATATCACTGCTTGGTGCTGGAGACTGACCCGAGGGCCTTCTTAGTGCTAAGCATGCATTCTACCACTAAGATAGACCTTCAGGCTCTGTTGGTTCTAAACTTATTTTTGGCTTCCCATTTTAAGCTGAAACGAGCATGGTTTGGTATGACTGGATGAAGCCTTCTCATACACAGCTTCACTCAGACTACATGCAGCATCTAACTGAAGCCAAAGCCAGGAGCAAGAACAAGGTTCGGAGTGTCCAGCAGCTGATACAGCGCCTCCGGCTAGTTAAATCTCCTGCAGAGATTAAGAGAATGCAGATTGCTGGGAAACTGACATCAGAGGTATGGCTGCTATTGAAATTATTTCTTTGTCAGATCACAAAACTCGAGCTCTTCATTTTCAGTATGCCTTTTAAGGTCATATGCCCACTGTAGTAACCTCATAGTTGAATCTATCTAACTTCTGCAGTATGATTAGTGAATATCTCAAGACATGCTCAGTGCCTTGCAAGGCAAAATAAATCTGCCTCTTTGAAGATTGATCTTTTATTCATTAGTGTTGTTTCTCTTTGGAACAACAACTAATTTAGACAGTTTTGGTTTCTGAAGGAAGGCTCAGGATGCCAGATGACAGTGTTTGCTGACCTAGTTCATTACGAGTGCTCCTGGACCCAGGATAGGGTTGCATTGCAATGTACCTGTCATTGGAAACACTGTGCACTGATGATGAATGTTTAGGCCTAACCTATTAAGCGTCAGGGTTTAGCAGCATGGCCTACTGTGTATATCAGTTGCTACCTTTAAGATCTTGTGCCTGAGAGCCATGGGTCACTGCCACTGCCCAGCACAGTGTGAGAAGGACCACGCTCTCGTGTCTCACTAGAAAGATCCAAATGCAGAGATTAGAAATATGGTTTCTACTGAGGGCATATCACACACCATAAGATATTTGAGAACTAAGTTAAACCATGGAATAAGATACTTACACAAGGTATGAAAAAACAAGAAGATGCATATGAATGTATGTAGAAGCCTAAGACCTCTCCTGTGGCAGGACATCCAGATGGGCCAGGTGAACACTCATTAGCCCACACATTAGGACTAAGAAGAGTCATTGTCTTTCATAGATCAGGAACTGGCAAAAATTTATTTCCCACAGTTGTCCAGCCTTCAGACTCAATTCAGGTTGCCAAAATGGTCAATTTCTGATGAGAGCTCTCTTCTGTCTTTCAGACAGCCAACTTCTTGCTGTGTTCTTACATGAGGGAATGCCTTTTCATAAGGTCTTAAGTCCTGTCAGACTCATTGTTCAGTTTCTTTTCTTTTCTTTTTTGTTTATTTGTTTTTCGAAACGGGTTTTTGTGTGTGTGTGTTTGTATCCATAGCTGTCCTGGAACTCACTCTATAGACCAGGCTGACCTTGAACTCAGAGATCTGTCTGCCTCTGCCTCATGAGTGCTAGGAATTAAAAGGGTGCACCACCATCCAGCATGTTTAATTTTTCAACAAACTGCCTTACTGTTTCCTATTTCCAACCAGACTGTTTTTATTCCCATCATTCCAGTTTGTTCCATGTCCTCACGAACAGTTATTATTTCTCTTCTGGGCAGAAATTAGCCCTCGTGAGAATTATAAAGTGACTTTAAAATCAGTGTGCCCTGTGCTCTGTCTCTTCACCAAGGTCAGTGCCATGCAAAAACTTCGACAAAAGCTGGGCATCGTCGCACATACACATAATCCGAACACTCAAGAAGCAGAGGCAGGTGGATCTCTGTGAATTCAAGGCAAGCCTGATCTACATAGCAAGGTCCAGATTGGCCAGGGCTACATAGAAAGACCCTGTCACAAAACAAGCAAAAATGTCACCCCACCAGTTTGTTTATTTCAGTGATGTTTGCATAAATCTGGAAATGTCCCATAACTGCATTTAGACGCTTTGGCTTGAGACGCTTTGGCTGTCCTAATGGCTGTTCTGATGAGTGTGCTTGGGTTGGATTTTTCAGATGCCATTTGAGTGAAGAACTCTCCCGTAGCAGGTGTCACCATACAAGCTGGTTCCCATTGCTGTTAAGTAGTGCATGACCTTAGTGTATGTTCTACTTGGTTTTTCCTTTGTTTGTTTGTTTTTGTTTCCCAAGCAGGGTCTCTCTGTGTATTTCTGGCCATCCTGGAACTCTGTAGACCAGGCTGGCCTTGAACTTAGAGATCTGCCTGCCTCTGCCTCCTGAATGCTGGGAACAAAAGTTTGTGCCACCACTGCCCAGCCAAGACTTTATCTCTTAAGATAAAATAGAAGGAAAAGAAGGCTGGAGAGATAATGCAGAGTTCAGATTGCTTGCTGTGCAGTCTTGAGGACTGGAATTCAGTCCCAGCATGTATGGAACAAACCAGGAATCCCACAGACACCTGTCACTTCAGCTCTGAGGGTCCAGTGCCTTCCTCTTACCTCTACATAGCACAGGCCCAGACACTTCACATGCATGTGCACAAACGTGCACATGTACAAACACAAATAACATAGATATTTAAAAATAAAAATAAATTTATTAAAATGCAAACATATGAACTATGAACCAATAGCTGAGGAGCCCCCAACTGGATCAGGCCCTCTGGATAAGTGAGACAGTTGATCTGTTTGATCAAGTTAGCTTGATCTGTTTGGGAGGCATCCAGGCAGTGGGACCAGGTCCTGTGCTCATTGCATGAGTTGGCTGTTTGTAACCTTGGGCTTATACAGGGACATTTGGCTCAGCCTGGGAGAAGGGGACTGGACCTGCCTGGACTGAATCTACTAGGTTGAACTCAATCCTCAGGGGAGTCTTTGCCCTGGAGGAGATGGGAAAGGGGGGGGGGCGGGAATGGGGAGAACAAGGGAATCCGTGGCTGATATGTAAAATTAAATTAAATTATAAAATAAAAAAATTAAAAAAATTTATTATTGGGTGGTGGTGGTACCACCTGCCTTTAATCCCAGCACTCAGGAGACAGAGGTAGGCAGATCTCTGGGAGTTTGAGGCTAGCCTGGTCTACAAAGGAAGTTCTAGGACAGCCAAGGCAACACAGAGAAGCCTGTCTTGAAAAAAAAAAAAAAACAAAGTTACAAATAAATAACTGTATTATTATTTTGAGTGTCTGGGTGTTTTGCCTGCGTCTTTGTCTGTGCACGGTGTGCCAAGGGAGCCAGAAGAGGGGATCTCCTGGGACTAGAGCTACAGATGTTGGGGTTGCCTTGTGGATTCTGGGGACCAAAAGTGGGTACTCTGTGAAAGCAACCAGTGCTCTTGGCTGTGGAGTCTTTACTCCAAACTTCAAATAAAGAAACATTAAACAGAGAGGCCAGAGAGAAGAGAGACGATATCTATCTGGTCAGCCGCATGGTGGTGGCGCACGCCTTTAGGCCCAGCCCTCAGGAGGCAGACAGCCAGGCCTACACAGAGAAGCCCTGTCTCGAAAGAAAGAAAAAAAGAAATCTGTCTGGCAGCACAACGCCTAATTCCACTAAAGCTCTCTTATTTGAAAATCATGCTGAGTCCACCAGGCTCCGGTCCCAGAGTGGCAGTGGCACTCAGCGACATGATTCAGTTCTGCTGCAACAGTCTCCCTCACCATCCACTGTGCGCTTTTGAACTAAGAAGAATTTCGCCTTCAAGAGGCAGAGGTAACACTCAGAGGGCTCTGAGTTTGAAATCTGCCTGGTCTGCGTAGCAAGCTCCAGGCCAGCCAGGGGATACCTGGTGAGACCCTGTCTCAAAAAAACAAGTGGGGCTGGAAAGATGGCTCAGTGGTTAAGAGCATTGGCTGTTCTTCCAGAGGACTCTGGTTCAATTCCCAGCACCCACATGGCAGCTCACAACCATCTGTAACTTCAAGATCTGAAATCCTCACACAGACATACATCCAGGCAAAACACCAATCACATAAAATAAATAAGTAATTTTTTAGAAAAAGTAAGCCTACTGAATTAGACCTGCTAGTTCTTTTCCTTGCCAGTGGGCTAAGTCATATGATTGTTCATCTTATGTCTGTTCATCTGCAATAACAAAGCAAATAGCTATTTTACTGTTTTTACAAGAGGGGCAGAACAGTAAATAACTTTTTTTATGGTTTTTTGAGTCAGTGTTTCTCTGTGTAGTCCTGGCCTGGAACTAGCCCTGCAGACAGGACTACCCTTAACTGAGATTCATCTGCCTCTGCTTCCTGAGTTCTGGGATTAAAGACTTGTGCCACCACACCCAGCTCTAACTTTTTGCCATCATATTTTAGCACTTTTATCTAAATCACAATTAATGACTGGCTATACAGTGTTCATTCACATTATTGTTAATACGTTTTTCAGATATTCCCACAGGTTGCTTCCCAATATTTCTCCATGCTAAGAAACTGGTCAAAAAATACGGTGTCTTTTGTATTTTTGCATATAGCTGAAAACCACATGCCCAGCTCCTCTTAAGTATTTGGCTCTCTATATCCCTCTCTTATGGCTATTGCATAGAGAAGGAGATTTATAAGTCCTTCACCCTAAGGGCATCGGAGTCACAGCCAAAAAGAATCTTGTTCTGATGCATTAAGCATTTCTCATACAAAGCATCTCTTGGGCTTTTGTAGTACCTGTGGATTGGTTCCCATCACCACAGCAGTAATCTTGCCTTTCTTTTATTATTATTATTGAGTTGACTTTTATTTTCTCTATTTATAATTACACTTATTTATGGAGAGGCCATACATACCATGGGGCATGTGAGGAGAGCAAAGGACAGCTGGTGAGGTTCAGCTTTCTCCTGCCGCCATGTGGGTTGTGTGCTTCAAACTCGGTTCCTTAGGCTTAGTCGAGAGCAGCTTTGCTCACTGAGTCATCTCACTGGCTTTTATTGTCTGTCTTACCCTGTGTGGAAGGTTGATGACATACTTGGCAGCCTCAGTAACTAGTCTGCAAAGAGTAGCATTATTTATTTGAGAATAGCACATAACGGATATACGAGCTGTGAGTGTAACAGGCTTTCTTTTGGGCCACCAACCAGCTCCCA